GCCGGTTGAGCTATAGGTGCCGAGCCAGTCTCCATCTTTTTTATGGCTGCATAGTATTCCATGGCATACATACACCACAATTTGTTAATCCATTTATGGATTAATGGGCACTTGGGCTGTTTCCATTTCTTAGCTATTGTGAATTGGGCTACAATAAACATTCTGGCACACACAGCTTCTATCAGTGCCACTGCCAGCCTCTGACGTTGGTTCTGAAGCCCTCTCAGGCCCCTCGGGACAGCAGACCCCTTCCTTTGCACCCCTGTGTCTCAGGCACTGCTACTGTCTAGGTCAGCCCTCCCTTCTCCCTCCTTCCTGAGGGAGGCATCCTGGGCTGAGAACTCAGACCTCTTTCCATGCCCCTCCTGCCCTTGAGATCAGATCTCACTGTGCTAAGCTGAATGCCACCACCAGGCTGACCCCACACGTAGGCATCCAGCCCAGACCACCCTCCTCTCCAGACTGGCGCACCTGCAGCCCAATTGACTCCTCATTCTTCCAACCTTGTGTCCAAAGTCAGACGCTGCCTTTCCTACCATCTCCTTCCTGCCCCACCAGGGACAGCAACTGTCCAGGTGCAGGACTCACACCCCACACTTCGTACCTACCTCCTGCCCCACACCCGCACCACATCCACCCACTGGCCCTGCTGGTCACCCCAGGTAGGCATAAGGGCATATTTCTTCCTGAGCAGTCACCTGTCCTCAGCAGAGGGTAAGCACCATCCAGGTAGTAATGCCTGTGGGCTCTGGCTGTGCTGCCCTGGCCTGGCCCTGTGGCCACTCTGCAGTCCTCACCCTTGCCCTGGGCCTGTGTACCCTTGCCTAGAGCCCTCTGTCCACAAATGCCCCATGGGACTTCCCCTCCTCAGGCTTGTTTGCAGAGGCCCTGTTCAGAGCAGTTTGTGAGATGTGAATGCTTGCTGGAGGTGGAGGGCCTGGGATGGACCCTGGCAGCTCCACGTGATTGGGACCTCGGGGTCCAGCCACTGCCATGCCCAGCACAGCAATGGGTGAGGGCCCAGGGCTCCTGTGCTCAGCCTCCTAGTCCTGACCCCCAGGCCCCAACTTCTCCCTCTCTTTGTGCTAAGGACCCCCTTCCCACCCCAATTTACTCATTCTGTGAAGTGTTTGGGCTGTGAAGCCTGCTAGGACCTAAGTCCCTGATGGTAGATGTCCCCCAAGCACCTGGCAGAGTCAGGCTCCAACAGGAATCTGTGGAATGATGGTGCAGGTGAGAGCCCAGGGCTACAGATGCCTGGCCATAGGAGTCAGACAGCGGCAGCAGCTGGTGGGGTGCAGGCGCTGCTGGGGTGCAGGCGCTGCTGGCACAGAGGCTCCCGGGCCACAGCCCCACCCCAGCGCTGCAGGACCAAGCAATCTGTCCGCCCATCACAGAAGCCAATCAACAGAGAAGTGGATGAGAGATCAGCAGATCCACTTTCATTTATAGAAAAGCCAGCGATTCTGGAGAACAGCAAGGACGTCTCCCCAAAGAGCTGTTATGCTCCCTTGTTTCTCTTTGTTAGTTTCATACCCTTACAGTGAAAACAGCATCAGCAATGTTATTACTCAGCATAATATATGTTAAACAGATCCCCCCATAGATTACGAGGGTAAAATATCTCATGTTTGGCTGTATCTTCAAAGTATTTCTGTTTAGACTAAATTTACAGCCAGTCAACACTTCAGAGTGTACAGAGTACCCTGCATCCTTGACTGGTGCCATGGAGTCCAGTTTCCTAACTTATCTATGACTCAGGCCTTGGAAGTGAATGAAGAAGCTCCAGATGTTGGCCCATTCCACCTTGCCAGGGCCTGTCTAGCAGTGCCCTGCATGACATGGCTGTTCAGGGTGATGGTGGCTGCCCTCGCCAGGAACTCTGCTTGGCGGGTGCTCACAGGCCAATTTGTGTACCGGCAGGCCCCAGGCTAGACTCTGGGTTTTGGTGTAGGACACTGCAAAGGTCTTCCCTGCCCTCCAGAAGCCTCGCTGTAGCGAGAGACAGAGAGAGGGGAGCCACGCCAGAGGGGCCATCTCCAGGGAGACCCCATGTTCCCCTGTTGGGGGGAGGCAACAACGGTATGGGCAATATTTGCCAAGCTTTCCCTGGGGATGACATCACCACCTTTGTCCACACCTGGCACATCTTTTTTTTTTTTTCCCGTACGCCAGTCTTCTTTGGAGAAATTTCTCTTCAAGTCCCTTGCCCATCCTGAGATGGGATCACTCGTTTTCTTCTTGCTAATACGTTTAAGTTCTCTATGGATTCTGGTTATTAAACCTTTGTCGGAGACATAACCTGCGAAAATCTTCTCCCATTCTGAGGGCTGTCTGCCTGCCTTACTTACTGTGTTCTTGGCTGTGCAGAAGCTCTTTAGTTTGATCAGGTCCCAATAGTGTATTTTTGATGTTGCTTCAATTGCCCGGGGTGTCCTCCTCATAAAATGTTTGCCCAGGCCGATTTCTTCGAGTGTTTTCCCTACACTTTCTTCTAGTATTTTTATGGTTTCATGTCTTAAGTTTAAGTCTTTAATCTAGTGAGAGTCTAACTTAGTTAATGGTGAAAGGTGTGGGTCCAGTTTCAGTCTTCTACAGGTTGCCAGCCCACATCTGGCACATCTTAAGGAGCCAGGTGGCAGAAGTGGCTCTCCTAGGGGCAGCTGTGGTAAATACAGGGTAAAATGAGCCTTTTCTTCTGAATATAAACCCAGTAATCTCTTCAGCACTAGCCCTGTAGGAGGCTGAACTGGCAAGTCACACCTTCATCCTCTTTCATTTAATCCCAAAGAAGCCGGGGACTGAATGGCAGAAAACGGACTACGTCTTAGAGTTCAGTGAGTGGCTGTATCACAAGCAGTTCCCTCTGAAGGATGTGGTCTACCACCTGCAGTGGGCCATCGAGATCTTGTTGGCAATGAAGCCCCCCAGAGATGCTCCTGAGCCAGAGCCCCAGCCAGATGGTGAGCAGATGCCTGCCGGGCGCTGCCCCCATGTGTGCCCTCCTGAGCCCCTGAGTGTTCTTCTTTGGAGACTTTGGCATCTTGCTACAAGTCTTACTCCCTGCAGCACATCCATGGGAAGAGGTCCTGTGGACTTAGGGGGCCAGGAGCCCCGGCACAGGGAAGGGCACCACATATTGCTCTTACCAGCTTGAGGTCATGATAGGAGAGGGCTCAGTCCAGACCAGGAGGAAGGATGGAGCTGGCAGAGCAGGTGTCCCAGCTACTCGGAGGCTGTGGCACCATGTGGCTCTCTCAGACTGGTTTTCTTAGGGTGGTCTCTGGGGCGATTGGAGCTGGTCTCTCCAGTCTCTCTCTCCTCCCACTCTAAACTGTTGGAGCCCCTGTATAGAAGGTGGGTGTGGGGCCTGGCAGCCTTGAGATGACCAGGGCAGAGGCCCTGGGGGGAGGCCCCCAAGGTGGCTCCCACAGGCCTGCTGTTTAAAGCAGGGGCCCTCAGAGCTCTACAGGCACCAGGGTTCTAGCCTGAGCCAGGGGCCCTCGCCTATGCTGTCCTGGTCAGGGCCACCCTCCCAGCCACTGCTGGCCTGGGCCTGTTGTCAGGATGGCAAGGCTCCCTCTCCAAACCCCTAGGCCCTTGTGGCAATACTGATGTGCTTAGGTTGGGTGCAGGAAAGGGGCACCCAGGCTCAGGAATCAAAACATGGGGCTTCCAGGGAGACGCAGGGCATGGACAGTGAGCTCTGCAGAGCCAACCCAAGGGATGCCCATGCCTAAAGATGGCAGGGACGGCATCTGCCCAGCAAGAGGGCAGCTTCCACCAAAGAGGAAGAGCGAGCCCCAGCATGGGTGTCCTGCAGTGGGGGCACTGTCAGCAGCTCCACCCAGGCACTAGGGGGGCTCTTTGCTGGTGCTGAGGCACCTCTGTTAGAAAAGGGCAGAGCAGGGAAAGCGCCAGCTTCTCATCTGCGTGTGAGTAACCAGACATGGGCCTGTTCACCCAGTGTCCAGCCCACAGGTCTGGGCAGCTTGGAGCTGAAGATCACAACTCACACAGCTAGGGTGAGACCACAATGGGAGGATTGTCACTCTTAGCCAGTGCAAGTCTGAGAGCAGACCCCCAAGCCTTCGGGCACCAGCCAGTTCCCGCCCTGGGTGCCATCCTACACCAGGGCTCGTGCTGCCCAGCCTCCTGCTGCCCAGGACACAGACCTTGTCTGCTGTGTGGGGGGCAATCAAGCATGCCGGGGAGCAGCTGCTCTGCTGAGCCCTGTGTAGACTGGCCCCTGTGAGAGGCCCCAACCCAATGTTGGGTGCCAGGCACATCCGTGGGCCTGGCCCCCTCTCAGCTTTGGCCTATTTTGCAGAGGAGGACATGCATGCTCAGGGGCTGCCAGAAGGTCCAGCCCCCCGGGCTGCAGCGCTGTTGTCCCTGGAGAAGCTGTGCAGTGTGCGGCAGCTGGAGACGCTGGCCCGTGCCTGCACCATGCTGGCCCTGGTGTTGTCACCCGCCTCCGCCGACTATGAGGACTATGGGCTGCTGGCCTACATGTTCCTCAGGCGCATCTGGCAGGTGGGACTGGAATCTGGGACTCTGGGGATTGCCGTGGCATCTTTTTTTAAAAGTCTTTCCAGATTTTCTAAAGACCTTCAGGATAAGAGCAAATTTCTCTCCTATTATATCAGTGTTTTTCCTGTCTATTGAATTATTCCCAACATCATTAAAACAAACAAATTTCCTCTTGACTGCACCCACTCAGGCTCCCTCTGAAGCAGTCTGCCCCCCAACCCTTGTAGACCACCCAGGGCTGGAGACACCCCCTCCCCAGGACCCTGTCCATCTCCAGGCTGGGTGCACAAGCAGCTATAGCTTGAGCCTTTCTGTTGCCAGCTGTGGTCTAACGGGTTCCTACCTGCTGGCCTTCTGGGCACAGCCAGCTTCCTCCCTCCTGTGGGGTCTGTGGGGTATGGCTCTTGGCAGTCTCTGGCACTGTGCTCCTGTCCAGATCTCCTGGGGACTGTGTGCCCCATAGGGCAGTGTTGGCCAGGTGGCAGTCTATGAAGGGAACAGTAGGGACCCTGCAGCGGGCACAGCAGGAAAGCCAGGGAGGTGCCAGCTTCTGCACATGCCCAGCCCATCCCGCAAAAGCTTCTGCCACCAAATATGAGACCTAGAGCAGCTGGCAAGTTAGTTCTCCCAGGCCAGGGCTGAGAGGGGCTAGCCCCAGCCTGCCGAGGACACAGGCCTCCCCTGCCCTACAAGGGCATGCTGGGCATGGTGTAGGTTCATCAGCAGAAACTCCAATGCCCGTGCCCACTGACACTCCCAGCAGTGACATGCGGGCCAGTGTCACCCACCCCTAAGTGCCCTGGGCCAGGCCCTGTTTCTGCTCTGTGGGAAACTCACTGGCCTTGACCAGGGCCAGTGGTGGACGTGAGAGTCCTAGGAGCACTGCGGTCTGTGGCACCCCTCCATCCAGGGCAGGAGAGGTGCATACAGAGGTCTGTTTTTAATGCTGGAAATTTGGATCTCGTTCCAAGGTTTCTTTGATGACAGCAGGGAAATCAATTTCAGAGAATAAACTTGATGGAACAGTCAGTTCATATTTGTCACTGGCAAAAAAAGAGAAGGAGAAAAGTAAAGAAAAAGAGAAACTGACAGAAAAGGAGAAACCGATAGAGAAGGAGAAGCTTCAAGACAAGGAGAAACCAACAGAGAAGGAGAAACCCCGGGAGAAGGAGAAGCTTCAAGACAAGGAGAAACCGACAGAGAAGGAGAAGCTGACAGAGAAGGAGAAGCTGCGGGAGAAGGATGAGAAGGAGCGGGGCAAGGAGGCCAAGCAGGTGACTTCCTGGGGCAGGTGACCAGGCCCACGGGTCCCCTCTGCAGTGCAGCAGACCATGGTGTCACCCCTGGTCTTCTCTGAGGTCTGAGTTGGAATGTCTGTATTGTACCCCTGGCCATTCAGTGGGGAATTCTGTGCTTGCTGTAACCCTTTCACATGCAGTTTGCACAAAGCCCACCACCTGGGTCTGCCTGCCGCGGAGGCCACCAGCAGCTGGCATGGTCTGGTCCCAGATGTGCAGGCTGGGTGCTGGAGCCTGAGACAAGCGGCTTCTTCTCCCGTGAAGACTTCACCCTGAAAACACGTGCTCCCGCCAGCACCACCATGGTCAAGAAGCTGCTCCGCTGGACCATTCGCAGGCAGCTCCCGGCACCCGCAGGCAGACTCTGGCTGCTCAAGGGGCAGAAAGTGTCACTTTGCATTGCTTGAAATGGTGTCTGAAGATGTGTGTGGGGCTTGGAGTCAAAGGTGGCTCTGGCAGGGATGCTCACCAGGGCCCCATGCGGAGAGAGCAGTGTCTTCCTGAGGCTCCAGCCTGTTGGCCGCACAGCCATGCTCTGAGAAGGACAAACTCCACTTTCTTAAGTAAAATTTGCCTTCTTGCCTTTATAGTTCACTCCTGCCAAACAGCTTGAGGACCTACCTGCAAGCACAGAGGAGTGGGCTTCCTATACCTGCCCCCAGGAGGTGCTGTCCGTGTTTAAACAAGATGAAAGTGACTTCACTGTCAACACAGCGAGTCTCCTGAAACCGGTAAGCTGAGACCCAGAAATACTCGAGGGCCTGGGTCCCATGGCCACCTACAGCCAGTGCTGTATGTCCCTGCTTCTGCTTGGGCCTGTGACCAGAGAGACACAGCAGGCTCAGCCATGCGCTGTCTGGGCAGGGACTCTGGCAGCCTCAGGCCTCGCCCCAGTACAGCTCTGTCCTGTTAGCTGGTGCGTCCACAGGAAGCTGCCATGTCCACGGGAACGTTGCCCTCCTCCCAGTCTGACCACACCCAGAGCGCACACCTGGACACGATGGGTTCCCACAGATGGGGCCGTAGAAACAACAGACAGCTCTGGTAGTCAGAAGGTCAGAGTGAAGGTGCAGGCCAGGCTGCACACCTCCCAATGACATGTGGTCAGAAGAACCTCCCGGCCTCTTCACACCAGCCTGCTCACCCCGGCTCTGCCTCCCAGCTTGGACCTCTCTGAGCACATCCAGGCTCCCCTCCCCCTTACAAGTTCCTGTGTACTTCCACGTAGGTTGCCTGTGGACAATTGGAATAATCCTTGTCTTTCATATTTTTATTTTTTTATTAAATCAGAAACACACAGATCATGTATACATTAAACATTTATGGGGTACAATGTGCTGATTTTATATAGAATTAGGAATGCTTAAATCACACTGGTTAATATATACCTCATCTTGTTTACTTAATAATTGTGTTAAGACATTTATACTCTATACTAATAGATCCCATATGTACCCTTGCATTATGCACCATAGGTGTGATCCCACCATTCACTCTCCCTCCATCTGACCTCCCCCCTCTGCTCCCATCCTCCCTCCTCCCTCCTTCATCTTGTGCCATAGTTGTGATCTAGTCTTCATATGAAAGTGTGAGTGTTTGTAAATTGGTTTCATAATAGTACTGAGTATATTGGATATTTTTTCTTCCATTCTTGAGATACTTTACTACATAGGTTATATTTCAACTCCAACCATGCAAACCGTAAAAGAGGTAAAGTTTCCATCTTTTTAAAGGCTGCATAATATTCCACAGTAACATATACCACAATTTATTAATCCATTCATAATCCTTGTCTTAATCACATCTGAAAAGCCCTTTTTTGCCACCTAAGTTCATATATACAGTTCAGGGATGAGGGCCTGATGCTTCTGGGAGCCTCTGCACAGCCCCCACATGCTGCCTGGGTTCTGTGCTTTGTGAGAATGGAGCCGTTCAGCAGGTTGCCCCCTGGCCTGGCAGCCTCTGCTCACTGTGATGTCCGTGGGGGCGATCCACACTCAACTGCGGGCCTGTAGCCTGTTTCCTTCTGTGGCCACAAGGAACCCTGCTGCAGGGATGGGCTGCAGTTCATCTGTGTGCTACCCCATGCACAGACGTGCGACCTGCCTCCAGTTCACAGCTGTTACCAAGGAGGCTCCCGTAAAGTTGCTGCCGGTCTGGCGGGCAGCCTGTGGGACGATTTCTGGATTATAGAGCCTGTCTGTCTGATGCCAAGTTGTTATCAGAGCAGTGGTGCCAGGTCACATCCCCACCCCTAGTGGCTCAGCTCCTGCTGCCCACGTCCTAGGCAGCTGTGGTCACTGTCCTTCTTCACTGTTGTGGCTGTTGTCGAGCACACAGTAGCATCTCACTGTGGCCCCACCAGCCTGATCACAGCACAGACAGACACCTCTCCTGTGCTTCCTGGCCTTTGGACATCCTCTTCTGAGATGTGTCCAAACTGTTGCCCATATTTTGTAAAGCTTTCTCTCTTTCCTGACTCCTTCACGGAGTCCTTCTGGAAAGAGCCCATTGACAAAGACACAGCCTCTGGGTCAACTTGGACTGTGTGGTCAGTCTCAATGGGGTCTTCCTAGGAAGAGGGTGTGTTCATTCTAATGCGGTGAAGAGTTATTCACTATTCCTTTGTGATTAGTGCTTTCTTATGTCCTGTTTTTTAAAAAAATGTTTCCTTTTCTGGAGGCCATGCAGATACTTTGGTGCATTGTGCCCGTCGGGGTTAGGTCCACAGCATCCCTGACCCTGTCGGGTGTGTGGTGTGAGGCAGGGTCAGCATCACTGCTCTGGCACCATGGAGCAAAGTGTCATTTCCCAGTGTCCTGGATGTGAATCTAGCGTCCATCTACTGTGGTCCTGTGTTGGGCTTTCTGCTTTTCTATTACTGGTTCTACCCTCCCACCATCAGCTAACCAGCTCACTTGCTGAGCGTCAGCACCTCAAGTGTTTGGTGGAGAAAACTCTCTCTGCTTGGCACAGTGAAAGGTGAAGTTCTTTGGAGGACAAAACTCTAGTGCTTCCTGTCCTGTGACCTGTGTGTTTGCTGTGTATTCATGTAGACATACACCTTATATTACCTGGACCACTTGGTCACCATCCTGCAGAAGATGTCTCTCCACGAGCTCACCATCCCCATCCTGCAGCTGGGCGTCCTGATCTCGTACTCTGTGGTGGAGAGCGAGAGCCTCGCAGGCCTCTATCACCTTCGGTTCGTACACCTCCTTTATTTCCAAGGAAATATGTAAATGCCTGGAGTGAAAATTTCCCTAAAGCAACATAAAAACAAATAGCATTTTAAGATATTAATTCCGTCATTGACTATAATGTAAATAATAAAATACCTAACATTTGTAAGCCAAGTAAATCAAAATAATTGAATTAAAATGGTATTTTTATTTTAAAATTTCTATATGACCCTCAAGAGAATATTCTTGTCTTGAGGAGACACACTAATCACAAAGGAATAGTCCCTTGGGAATATTGTGGGTTCAGCTCTGTAACAAACTGAATATCACAGTAAAGTAAGGTACACAAATTTTTTGGTGTCCCAGTGCCCATAAAATTTATGTCAGAATCATACTTTGGTCTATTGAGTGTGGAATAGTATTATTTTGAAAAAATGTACATACCTTAATTTAAAAATACTTCACTGCTAAAAAATGATAGAAATTCCTTAACATAAGACAGCAGTGATTTTGCATGTTGGTTACCTCCTCCCTTCGCAAAGGGTTCTCTGCTCCGTGTGCTACTGCTCGGCAGCAATTCACCCACAGTAGACCTTCTTTAAAAAGTGGAATTGATCCTCTCGAACCCTGCTGCTGCTTATCAACTAAGTTGATAGAGCATTCTAAACCCTTTGTTCTCATTTCAACAATGTCCGCAGCACCTTCACCAGGAGTGGATCCCGTCTCAAGAAACCACTTTCTTTGCTCAGAAGCGCCCTTGCTGTGGCCTAGGCTTTGGCTTAAGGGACTGTTGTGGCTGGTTTGATCTTCTGTCCAGACCCTAAAGCGTCCTCTGTACCAGCAGTGAGGCTGTTCCTCTTTTTTCCCGTCCGTGTGGCACCAGAGTGGCACTTCCAGTCTCCTTCAGGAGCTGTTCCTCTGCGTTCACGGCTGGGCTCGCTGTCTGGCACCAGCTCTGGGCCTGTCTCAGCTTTTGATGTGCCTTCCTTACTGAGCCCAGTCATTTCTAGCTTTAGATTTAATGTGAGACATGTGGGACTCATCTGTTCACCTGAGCACTTGGGGGCCAGGGTAGGGATTTTAATTGGCCTAACTTCAGAACTGCTGTGTTTCAGGACCAGGAACTGGAGAAGAGGGAAGGGTATGGGGAGCAGCCAGTTGGGGGGCAGGCAGAGCCCACTCTTCGATGAGTCATGTTTGCTTTCTGACATATGCGGATTGTGGGGTCCCAAAACAATTACAGTAGCAGAATCACAGATCATTGTAGCAGACATGATGATGGTGCAGACATCTGAAATGTCGTGAGAATCGCAAATGTGGCTCAGAGACACGGCTTGAGCATATGCTGAGCCACCTACTGCACCTGTGGTGCAATAAGGTGACATTACAAGACCTGATGTGCAGTGCCTGTGGATGTGCATGCCTGTGGGACATATGTGTGCATGCAAGGGCGTGTGCCTGTGGAGGCGTATAGGAAGAGAGGCTGGGGACACCTGCTCAGAGAGTGACAGAGCAGGTGTCGGTCACAGAGTAGGTCTGGGTGGTAGTGTTAGCCTTTCTGTTGACCAGAAACCATGTAAAATAAAAATGCCTTAAGTGACAGTCAAAGTGGACCTTCTGTCCTGCGGGTGCAGGGTCAGAGCCCCACTTGCCGGGCCTCTTTTATTTCTAAAGTGCCCTGGAGACACACAGCCACCAAATGGGCCAGGTGAATGAATGTGAAGCAGGAAGTGCCAAGGAAGCTGCTCGTTCCCCCCTAGTAAGGTCGCTTAGCTCTGACACTCACTGAAAATGTTGTTGGAAAGTGCTCTGTGTGCTGTACAGGTGGTTTTCCCCATCCACTGTGCCAAGATAATGACACATTCTCTCCTGCCTCCCCCAGACTCGCGCTCGTGTGCTCCCAATTGAAGCTGAGAGAAGCTTCCACTTACCATGAAGAAGCCGCCGGGCCGGTGCACCTCGGGGAACTGGAGCAGGCGAGGTGGGCCCTGTCTCGAGTCCAAGGCTCTTCTGTCCTTTGGGCGTGATGCCAGGAGAAGGAAGGCTGCAACAGGGAGTGCAAGGCCAGATTCTGCCCTCAGCACCTGAACACCCAGCGTGGGGGAGAGGGCCTGGGGGCCTTCCGACTGCAGTGGGGAGGGGGGTTGACACCTAGGGGGATGATGTGGAGGGGAGAAGGTACTGCACAGTGTGGGGCCGAGGTAGTAGTGGGGAGGGTGCTGGGCAGCAGTGGGGAGGGTGCGGGGCAGCAGTGGGGAGGCACCCAGGGTCCTGGGGCTGTGAGCACAGAGCAGCAGCTCCTGATGATGCCCCTGGTCACCTTTCTAGGGACTGTGTGGAAGGGCTCCTCAGGGAGGAAGGGCAGGAGGGACGTGAGGCCCTGGGGAAGTGCAGCCCCTCCCAGGAGGGCTGAGGGCTGGGGTTAGGGTCAGGGTCAAGGTGAGGCCCATGCAGCCCCTTGGGTTCCAGACTTAGTTCACATCCAGTGGGGTGAGTTTTGCTAGTGCCAGTTATTTAACAACTGAATTAACTGCCCTCGTTCTTGGTTTGAAGGCCACCCAGGAAATACTTTTGTGTGTGGTTATATGCAGTTCTATCCTTATTATTTAAGAATTTCTACAATGTGATTTTTTTTATTACATATGATGTTTTATCATGGAAATTTTAGAAAATACAGATAAGAGAGAGAAACTGGAGGCTGTGTGCCCATCCTCCACAGTGACCCTGGTCACGTCCTGTGTCTGCCCTCCCTATCACTGTGCTGTTTCCATGAGCATGGTGCACTCACAAATGCGCCTCCACAACATCACTGGTGTGTTTCCAAGTACTGCGATCCTTCCATCCAGCCCTCACCTAACATTCTGTGCTGAGCTGTGGGCTTGCTCCCAGTGCTGTAGCAGCCACTGCCTTGTGCGAGTTTGAGAACAGAAAGGCTTTATCTCGAGGCATCTGGTGAAGAGCCGCAATGCTCAAAGCTGTCTTCCCACCCAGTATGGGAGCAAAGTCTGGGAGGGAAGGTTTTGATTAGAAAACAAAACATTTATGGTAAGGTGTGAAAAGTTGTCTTAACATCCAACATTCCTGGGTGACAGACCCCCTTGATTCTGAATGTGTTCTGGTGTTGGGGTTCCAGTCTTGTCTTGGTCCTTTGATTCCAGTGAGGGACTTTAGTGGGCTGTGTGCCTGTGGAGGCGTATAGGGAGAGAGGCTATGGTTTCTGGTTTCTGGTTTCTGGCCAACAGAAAGGCTAACACACAGTGGGCTCCATCTGTGGCCTGTAGCTTCCAGATCTGTGCCCACAGGACAACTTGTATCCTGCTGCCAGCAGGGCAGGGCCAGTCAGAGCTGGCTAGGCAGTGGCAGTTCCACTGGCATCCACATGTCCCTAGTGTGAGTGACACCAAGGAGCATCGGGGCCCAGTCTTTGGCACAGTTGTCCTCATGGGCACAGGCCCCTGCTCTGTGCTGGTAGCCTGTGGGTGGGAGCTGTGGTGGGAGTGGGACCAGGTCAGATGGGCTGAGGGTGGTGCTGGGGGCTGTCAGGGCCCGAGGGAAGGACTCAGTGGAGACTAGCAGCCCGGGGTGAGCCTTTTGAGGTCTTGGTTCCTGCAGAGTGACCACTCTGGACATGGCTTGGCGAATGTCAGGGGCTGGAGCTAGTGGCCAGATAGAAGCAAATCCAGGTGTGTGCAGAGGGGAGAGGGGAGAGGGCATAACCTCAATGTGCCAATGTGTTGGGAGATGGAGTAGGCAGTGCCCCCAGGAGCTCAGCTGGGGAGGAGCTGCACCTTTCTGGAGGGGGCACAGTGGGGGAGTGGGCATGGTGGGGGAGGGGACACGATGGGCCATGGAGCTCTGGCCTGGCCAGGTAGAGTTTGAGATGCACCTTGAACTCCTAAGCCACGTGGAATGTATGAGGCTAGAGTTTGGGAGAGAGGATGCAGATTTGGAGGTCAGATGCTTGCCAAATCCTGGCAATTTAAAAAAAATCTTTGTAAAAACTTGAGTAAATTTTGATTTGCATTTCTTTGATTAGTAATGAAATTAAACATCTTGTGTATTCACTGCCATTGCATTTCTCTCTTGCATATGGTCTGTTTTACTTACCATAGCTGCAGAAGAGAGATTGCTTTGAAGAGAGACAGAAAAAAGGAACCTGTATTGGAAGAAACCCTGCCGGAACTAGCTCTGCAGGTGACACCCACCCCACCCGCAGAGATGAGGCCGCTGGTAGCGAAGGACAAGGTAACTGCATGGGCCAGAGCCCACCTGCTGCTGCAGCCCGGCAGGCAGGCTGGACCGGCAGGAAGGAGTTTACCTGGAGAGCTCTTACCATGGGCAACGCTCATGCCAGAGACCACTCAGGGCTGTCCCCTCCCTGTGGCCCTGGAATTCCCAAGGAAGATGACATTCAGGTGCACTGAAGACCACTGTGGACCCGGCCTGCCAGGCCCTAAGCAGAGACTGACATGTCTGGCAGGGCGGCGGATGGGGATCCTGGTGGAACAGTGCATGCGGAGAGTAGGGTTGGCCTATAGGGATTGTCATCTCACTGGGGACAGGCTTTCCCTCCAGACCACGTGAGCTGTCATCACAGACCACATTTCCCCTTATGGTTGGCCCCTAAACGAAGGTGACCACCCCACTGCTATGCTCCTGAGTCCAGGGCCTGGCATGGCGGCACCAGACTTGGATGCATTTCTGCACCTGCAGGATCAGGGTTCTGTGTGCCTCAGGAGGAATCAGGAGGCCCGTGCAGTGGGGCAGAGGTCCAGCCTGGCACAGAAAGAGGGTTGGTTGTAAGCACTCTGAGACCCATCCCACTCAGGAAGGGCACTGCCCAGCACGTGGAGAGGCCGCCTTGAGGGGTCCCAGGTGGTGGCATCTGTCTGGAGGAAGGGGCAGCAGCCTAAGCATGAGCGCCAGGCACACAGAGCCTCAAGCCCTCCCCACCCCCAGTGTTGCTGGGAAGCCCTCAGTGGAACGTGGTTTTCCAGGCAACTGCAGGCCACTGCTGCCATGTCCCATCTCCTGACCAGACACAGATGTGGGTGAGGACTGTGTGTCTTACAGATCTTGGAGATAAATGCAGAGATGGGGAGGGGACTTGATGGAGAGGCCTTTCCCCAGCTGTGGATGCTGAAGGGGGAGGTGCTGCTGGAGATGCACCTGTACCAGCCTACCCGGCTGCTCCTGTCAGAGGCTTACCTGGCTTTCCAGGTCAGTGCCCTCTAGCCTCTCCCACTCTGTAGCCCAAACAGCTCCCCCTCCACTTGCATACAGCCCAGAGGGCCTCTGTAGGGGAGCAGGGGCTCTCCTTTCTGAAGCTTGTTCCATGCCTTTCAGCTCTGGACAATCTTGTGATTCTCAGTGGGAGGTCAGTCATCCTGCCCTTGTCTGTCTCTTGCTCTTTTTAATCACGGTTTGTTACTTCTGATAACTGCTGTGGGTCTCTTTCTGCTGCCCGCAGGGAGGACAGGTGTGTGCAGGTCTCAGGCAGGGAGACAAGTGTGTGCAGGTCTCATACAGTGAGGACAGGTGTGTGCAGGTCTCATACAGTGAGGACAGGTGTGTGCAGGTCTCAGACAGGACAGGTGTGTGCAGGTCTCTGACAGGAGGGACAGGTGTGTGCAGGTCTCAGGGAAGGAGACAGGTGTATGCAGGTCTCTGACAGGAGGGACAGGTGTGTACAGGTCTCAGACAGTGAGGACAGGTGTGTGCAGGTCTCAGACAGTGAGGACAGGTGTGTGCAGGTCTCTGACAGGAGTGACAGGTGTGTGCAGGTCTCAGACAGTGAGGACAGGTGTGTGCAGGTCTCTGACAGGAGGGACAGGTGTGTGCAGGTCTCAGACAGTGAGGACAGGTGTGTGCAGGTCTCTGACAGGAGGGACAGGTGTGTGCAGGTCTCAGACAGGGAGGACAGGTGTGTGCAGGTGTGTGCAGGTCTCAGGCAGGGAGACAGGTGTGTGCAGGTCTCTGGCAGCAGGGACGGGTGTTTTCACAGGGAGTTTGTTTTGGGAGGACCTGAGAGTCCTGCAGCCAGGTGATGAGGGGACACAAGTGGGTGCAGCACTTTGCTGACCACAGTGCAGCCTTGGAGTTGGCCATAGGAGACAACCCATCTCTGCTGAGACCAGAGGGTGTCCCCAGGGCAGCAGTTAGGTCACAGGGCAAGGGTGGCCCAGTGCTGGGCCGTGGGGACCCATCAAGGGTCCTGGGCATCTGTGACCGTTGGGAGTCCAGTCCCCAGGATGACAGGATGGACACCAGGCCCTGTGCCCACTGCCTGTCCACCACCTTCCTTCTTCCTTGATGTGAGAGAGGGAGCAATTGTCCGCTCACCTTTACCATGTGCTTGCCAAAGCAGGTCTCTCACCCCCTATCAGCTCACCTGCCAGTTCTCCAGCCGTGTTTAAACCCATGGAACGTGTCCACACACCACACCTTACACTGGCCTCAAATGCAGCTAGCCCTGAATACAGCTACTTCATCATGCTCCTGAACTTGCTCCCGCCAGTCTGGCAGTGACCACTGCTGCTCTTGGCTGTGGCCCCCAAATGCTCTGGCTCCCTTCTCTACCCTCCGGACCCCCCAACCCATGTCTTCCTGCCAGGGCTGTGCCCTCTGCCCTGCTCTCTTCTTAGGTCTGTGCACTGGGACCTACTGGGCTCAGAGACCTCTCAGCAGGCAGTGTCCTCCATGTCTCTCTGTCTCTCTGCTACCTTCCCCTACATCCACAAGCACAGCCACGCCCCTCTGTCTGTGTCTGTCAGGAGTTTGATGACCCTTGCGCACAGGCGAGATGTCTGCTCCTTCTGGCACAGTTGGCCAACAAGGAAAAGAACTACGGACAAGCAAAAAAGATGATTGAGGAGGCCCAGTGCCTGGGGGGGAGCGAGGACTTTTGGTACAGCTCCACCCTGACTCTGGCAGAGACACTCTTGTCCACAGGGGATGAAGGACAAGAGGCCATGGTGAGAGGTTGGCAGGTGGTGGTGTGGTCTCTTGGGGGGAACGTCCACAGGGCTCTGCCACACAGAGGGCTCAGTGGTGAATGCACATCATGCTGGCCTTGTCCCCAGGTTCGCCGCCTATTTCAGAAGCTCATAGAGACCTTCAAGGTTCTCAAGAGAGAGAGGCCCAACCGGGCAGCCAGGCTGGACTTCTTCATCACTGACCTAGAGGCCAGGTGGGTCATCCTGCGCAGAACTTGCTCACCATGGTGGTGCTGCTGCCTTTCCCCACCGGTTGGCTTTGTGCCATATTTAGAGCCTGGGGAAGTTGAGGACCACATTCTGGGCCACACACCACAGCCTTCCACACAGCTCCAGAAGTTTCCTGTGCTTCCTTTCAGCTTCCTTGTCAGAATCACTTCAAGAGGTGGCTTGGGAGCTGTGGGAAGAACCAGGGAAATTGTTTCCTGCTGATGTGCAGTTGAGTTAGTGAAGTTTGGTAGTAAGAGTAGCTAGTAAAGTCCGTAAACTCAGTCAGTCAGTGCTCTTACAGCTCAAGTCCTCACCCAGGGCTGCCTCCCGCAGTTTGTGCCTCTCTCCTCCAATCACACCTGCAGGCTCTAACTTGATCAGCAGATCTTCTCAAACAACCAGGTGATATTTTTCTCATTTCGGTTGATTATATTTCTGCTTTGTCTTTGTGAAGCCATCTGTGCTGGTGGCCCCCCCAGGGCTACTTCCTGACTGGACCTCGTCCTTCCCCATTCCGCCCCCTCTGGCCTGCGCGGCCAGGCGTCTCCACATGGGTTTTCTTTTCTCCTTGTGAGTCATTGAGTGGAGGTTTCTGAACTTCCACGTGGATGCAGTGCTCATGCTGGGGTTTTCTTAACTTCTAATGTTACCGCATGTGAGGGAAGACAGCCCCGAGATGTTTCTTCCAGCATCCTGGGTCAACACCAGAGAGAGTGGTAAGGTGAACCGTGAACCACAAGGTCCCGGGGTCGCGGCAAAGCTGCTGAAGAGAATCTGCTCCCCAGGTGCCTGAGCCTCCAGGTCAGGGCTACGGAGGAGCTGGTGGACAGTGCCCCTCGGGAGTGCTTGGCGCTGCTGAAGGACTTGGACAGCTGCCTGATGGAAATAGAGGAACAATTTATCAGATGTGGCTACAGAGAGAATTGTATCGACATAAAAGTAGAGAGAGCCCGGATAAAGAGGTGTGGGCTGTGGTGGCATCTGCTGGGGCTGAGAGCTGCCTTTGGAGGGCTTGGCCCTCTGGTGGCCAGACAGCTGCTCTTTACATGGGACAATCTCTGGCTTCCTCCCGGCAACCCCTGCCCAGCACCTTCCTGCCTCCTCCTGCCCACAGGCCCAACCCCAGGCCCAGAATTTCCCTAGGTCTGGCCCTATCTCCCCTGGCAGGGCCTCCTGACTCTAGCCCTGAACTGCCCACACCTCCCTCAGGGATGCTGCAGGGGAGCCGGAGCCCCTGAGGGGTCCTTCAGCCCTTAGCTCTGCCTGGCTCTGGTCTGTCCCTCATGTCCAGTGCTCAGCTCCTGGGGACACCACAGACTCACCTCAGCCCCTACACAGCACTGCACTGCACCCCACACCCGGAGGCACCACCTCCCACACAGACTCATAGGCACATGCATCACTCACACTTGTCCACACAGAGGTCACAGGCACACGCGTCACTCCACACGTGTCCACACAAAGGTGTAGCCTTTCACACTGCACTGCTCACAGGGCTCTGGACTCAGGAGGGGTCCCATGCCCAGGACCCCTCAGAGCTGTACTCCATGGCAAAGCCTCAGTACATGCCAGCCCTGGGTAGCCCACACTTGTTACACGAAAGCATCCGGACACAACATATAAATCCAATGTGAAGAGCAGCCTGACTCTAGCCTGGATCAGGGGCCTAGCCTGGATCAGGCTGTCACTATGCACCATGTCTCCCCCTAGGGACTATCATAGCTGGTCACACACAGCGCAGTTGACTCTGCTGCATCCCATGTCTCTTTAAGTGTAGATTTATTTTCTTGTGAACAGCATGGTCCCACACACATGGCATTCATCAGCTCTTAACCTTTGCTTTAAGGTATATTGAAAATGTCTTTACATGTAAAACATCTAATTATAACATTTTAAGTATGAATAAAGTGTGCAGTGTAATTACATCAAAGTGACAGGTTACACACTCAGCAGCACTGATGATGGCCAACTTTAACACTGCCGCTCCGAATCCCACCCCATGTCTTGTGCAGGTTATGTGCCCAGAAGGAGGGTGACGAAGAGCAGAGGACTGCCTACTACCTGGAGGCACACGGCTTGGCTCAGAGGGCAGTGGCTGAACAAGAAAAGCGATTCCACAGCACCCAGACCTTGCTGGGCCTTCACGGGGTGAGTGTGTCCTGGGTCCCTGTGCACGTCATTCCCACTGGCACTAAGTAAACTCTAATTTACCTTAAAAACAAACCAGCTAACTTCCACTTCTAGCTGCGATGGAGTAACAGTAACTAGCTTTACCCTCCCATCTGAAAAAGGCAAGGGAAAAAGGCAAATTTTATGAAACAAGGATTTTCAAAACACTGTACATCAACAGTGACAACCAGCAATCCCTGGGGCAAGGGCCAGGCTTACTGCAGCACCAGGAGGAGAGCCCAGGGGGTCTGGCTGGCCCAGTTGAGGGGAGGGAGCTGGGGTTCATAGGACAGAGCCCCAGAAAGGAGGGCATTGCACAGACGGAGACTTCAGAGACCCTCGAGTGAGGCCCTGGAACAGCCCACTGGGGACCAGTCAGCACATGCTTGAGAGGAAGCTGCTCGCATGGGGGAAGGTCTCGGAGATTCCAGGAAACAGGATGGGACAGTGCCTGCCCCCTACAGCCTGACTGGGAGACCTCATGGCTTGTAGAGCCCTGGGCAGAGACAGGACACCATCAGTGACACATGATGACCCCTGGGAGGAGCCACCCCACACCTGCCTGAGAAACCTTAAAGGGAAGGCCTGAAAGGACCAACTATCCCAGAACAAAGTTCAAGAACATTTGAGGGAATAAAAATGCCCACCATTCCCCAAAGCAAACTGTATAATGTCTAGAAACCCTTCGAAGATTACCATGTAGAAAATTGGGACAATACAACTTATGGAGAATCATCAGTGAATCAAACCACCCCCAAACTGGCACAGACATTATAAGTGGAAGACAGGGACATTAAAAGTTATTAAAACTGTTATTCTTGACGTTCAGAAAGTAAAGTAGCGATGTTAGACATGCACAAAGAAGACGGAAATTAAACTTTTAGGGTGAAAACTGCAATTTGTGAGATGGTGAATACATACGTGTCTTTTTTTTTTTTTT